CCAGGGTGTCCCTGCCTGTGCCCTGCGACGGACTGGCATCCCACCCAGGGTGTTCCAGGGTGCTGCCTGGGATAGGCTCCAGGCTTGTAGTGACCCTGTACTGCATGAGTGGTCATGGAAGTTGTATGGATGGATGTAAAATAAACTCCATCCACTCTGCTTTTGGTCTAACAGAGAGCATGCCTTGTACCAGAGCAATCAAATTAAAAACTAATTAAAGGTCTCTCCTGTGGTAAACAAACAGCACTGCTTCTGTGCAATACATATGTAATCTCTCTGCTGCTGAATTCAGCACACTTGACAGCATACCAAAGGCAGCAACTTCCTCCATATACATGATTTATGCATTCAAACTGCAACTCAATGTCGCTCATGTCCTGCTAATGGCTATTCATAATCAGGTGACCCCTCTAGTGGTGACAGTGTGAAAACACAGGAACACTATCTTTAATCTTACTCTGTGCCTTTCACATTAAATAACCAAATCAAGATCAGGAGACAGAGGAATGTGAGCTACACATCAAACAGAGCAACATTTACTGACATGGAAGTAACACAGAAATACAGAAAGAGCTTATATCAGCTTCATGTCCATTAGTTGCTGCAATTTCATGATGAAAAGTTAGCGTGCTAACATTACCCATGATTTCAAACTATTAAGTCTTCAAACTGAAAAAGAATAAACTCAGAATGAATCACAGCCTTCAAATTACAGGCTAAAGATTGTTTACTCATCACCAGAAACCACCAGAAAAGCACATTTGCTGCTGTAGCAGAAAAGAAAGTAGAAGTGAATTTGTCCCTGCCGATGGTGTGTCAGACAGCAGCTAATGAACAACGAACATCCAGGAAAAAGCACCAGCTGACTTGTGGGTGCAGCTTCTCAAATGTATTCTGCCTCCGGTATAAAGATACACTCTTAATGAGAACACAGACACTCAAACTGATGCTCAGTGTAAAAGGCCTCATATTCACTCCCTAGCAACGCTTAAAGAAACACCATCTAGATATATATTTGGGGAGTTATATGAGAAAACAACAAAAAAAACAACAAGCTCTGCTGCTGACAACAGTCAAAAAACCCTCCTGTGTGGGACAAATCCAGTGCAGCACAATGTTTTTCGAAACAAAGTAAAAAACAAAAGGTTTGCTCAAACTCCAGGGTGTGAAAATGTTACATACAGAGGTGCGAGTGAAAAGTCCTGCTCAGTCACAGGTGCAGAATAATGCAACACTGAAGAACATGTTTATGATGCGATATTTAAAACAGAATGAATAAGTAATTGCATAATAGACTGGACTGTAGCTTATTGTATGAATGAACATGAGGTGAGGGGCAGGGGAGGGGGCACATACCTCCTCAACGGGGAGCCCCTTCAGCTTGGGCAGCGAACTGGACAGCAGCCCCACCAGGAAGGGCGTGGGGCAGCACACGATGTCCACCATGGAGGAGGGCAGCACGGGGATGAAGGTGTGCTGCCAGGAGAAGGGGTAGAGGAGGGCCGCCACCGCGTGCACACAGCTGGACAGTGTGCTGCAGGGGCGGAGACACAAGGCGGGGCAGCCAATAAGGAACGTCTGTTACACGCAAATTACACAACCATGTCTTGTAAGGTTAACAGGGTTTAGCTCAAAAGTCGTCCTTGCCAATCATGTGTCCCTGAACCCATCCTAGGTCAGCATCACTGAAGCGTCAATAAACCAGCAGTGTGAAAACACACACAAATCGTCCTCTTTTATACGAAATCTCTTACACACGAGAGAAAACAGCCTGATACCTTGATCTGAATCACAAAGCAGGTTAATATTAATAATGCACCATCCCCTTTAATTTGGTGTCAGCAAACAAAGGAAGGAAAAAAAACAAAGGCGACTACATTCCACAGTTGGTGTATTTTAAAGCAGTCTAACAAACCGGCCTCGAACAGTGCATCAGCCTTCCCATGACGTGCTGTTGTTCGGGGTCAGTCAACCCCTCCCCCCCCCGGCATCCCACATTGTAAAGGTTTTTCAGTGAAACCAAAATAAAAAGCCCAGACCCTCACAGCGCCTGGGTGAAGGGTGAGACGCATGGTGTTACCCCGCAGTACGTAAGCATTACACTATTTCTGGATAGCTAAGTAATAACTCTTTTCCAACTAGCATTTAGTGTGTATAAATGTGCCCCATTTGGTTACAGCATCACACAGACATGTCTAGAGCAAACACAGCAGAGTGTAACGTAATCTCCCCCCCCCCCGACATACATGCGTAGCACTTTTGCTTTCTCACGATACCCAGTGTATATAAATAGAGACGGGGTGAAGGATCAGCCTACAACCATAATAACGGGTGTCACAGTCCTGGCTGCAGGCACTGCGGTCTCCCAGCAACAGGCATCCTGCAGTGATGCTGGGCAGCGTATCCCTGCATACGTGTCCGACACTGCACACTCTCCTCAGAGCCGCTTCTTCACACTGATGTCTAAGCAAGTGATCCAACATCTTCTTCATAGTTCTACCACATAATGCACCTCCAAGAAAATATTGCTCACTGAACACAAGCAGTGAGCTTAAGGAATAATTAAATGCATGTATTAAACACATTTACAACAATAGACTGTAAAGTAATATTAGATCGAATGACTGAATAACTGACATGGGAAGAGGCCTGCATTTCACACGCTGACAGCGACTGCTTTGGGCTGTACTGTTTTCAGCTGCCCAGGGCAATGCGAAATTCACAGCTTCCTCCGCGCGGCATGTTGAAACAGGGAGCCGGAGGAGAACGCATCCCAACCTGAGCCACGGGTTAGTTAAACTGCAGATGTCACTAGTAACGGCACATGGAAGCCTTGAGGGCGACCTGATGGGGAGGAAGAAGTTACATGAAATCGAAAACCCCCATAAGAGAGAGAAGCTACCAGAATTTGTGAGAAGAACAACCATTGGTTTGTGGAGGGGACCTTAAGAACAGGGATTCAATTGTAAGAGACTGGGCCTCCACGAGCGTGACAGATCAGGAATCGGGAGGGCAACTATTCAGCAGGATTAGTGGACACAGTGTGGAGATGCAAGGTTAGAGCTTCATGCCGGGAATTGTCGTGAAAGTGGGGAGGGGGGGGGGCTGCAAGAGGACAGCAGTGCAGAGGATTCAAGTCAGTGCTGTCATCAGGGCTTCCTCAGCCAGGAGAGACGCTGGGACCTGGGAAGCTGAGTCACTGCTCAGTGCTTGTCGATTTCTAGTCCCTGCGAGGTAATAAACTGTGTTTTTCATGCTACAGCTTGCTGTCGTCAGCATAGAGGGTCAAGTCAGGTTTATAGGAGAAGGCTGTCCCTCCCGCAACGCCGCTGTTAAGCTGCTGCAGGGGTGACTCCCCAGCTGGCCGCCCAGAGAGTCATCTGCACGTCTCCTGATTAACACCCTCGTTTCACACCGGATTTGCTGCTCACTTGTTTCGTGTATCGTTGTCATATTTGAAGGTTTCATTTCACAGCATGCTGGGAGAGCAGAAAAGCAGTGTCGGAGGGGGGGGGGGGCATTTCTGAACAGCAGAACACAACCTACGTTAATCTATAACTTACTGATGTATGTAAGCATGTGCCGCCTGGCATCACCAAAGCATCACAAAACAGTGGGTGTGGCAAGCAAAGGCAAATGAGCTGCCTGTATTACAGTCATATCTACAAATGCAGCATGTGTCTGTACAGGCAGCAGCTTCACATGTTTACATAAACATGATCAAAGTCAATCTTACCCTAACTGTCTGAGAATTCCATGATACAAGCTGCAAGAAAACAACTCTGGATGCATCATCAATGTTACCAGTCAGTGATTGGCTGGTAACACAGTCATGTAAACGCGGGTCAGATCTGCATTTTGGCAGCGAACAGCGCTGAAGCTGAGTCAAATCAAAAAGTCATCAGCATGCTTCAGTGAAACAAGATAACAAGACTTTCATTTATTAATCCAGCCATTCCCACACAGGTAGGGAGATTCCCAAATGGGTAGTTTCAGGGTTATCGTCAATTGGAAACTAAGATTAAAAGTTCAAGAAAACTTTTTCATAAACTGAAATAAAATATACAAAAATAAAATAAAAAACTACAACTAAACAAAATACATAATTTTTCCTTACAAAATGAACTGAAAAATAATATATAAACAAATGTTATAAGTTCCTTTACTTTACTGTTCTTAGTACAATTTAGCTAAAGTAATGATGTTTACTTTTAATGATCACCAGTAATACCTGGAACATGTTTTACCCATTTTGAGGAAATTATTGCATAATCTGCCCTGTATTCCAGTAGGATTCTTTAAAGAAGACACATAAAATAGCTCTATGACTTTCAGACTATTACTAGATATTAAATTACTGAAACTTAAGGTGAAACTAAAATATATAAAAACTACAACGAATTATGACTTTAAAATAAAAACTAAACTGGATTTCAAATGAAACTTGAAAATAATTAAACCTATGTGAGGTTTTGGACTGGCCCTTTCTGGGAGCCTAAAGTACATTCTGGGGTAAATAAGTCCAAGCCAGCTCATGAGCCACAATATTTCCCATGGTGTATTTTTCATGGGAAGGGTGTAAAGAAGCTCTATCTTCCTTCAGTACCTGTTTTATGTTGAAGAAAAATATTACTTTATGTGTCAATGGATCCTTTCTGTTCCTGCGTGACAGCGGGAATAAGCATGTTCAGGCATATACAGAGTAAAATAAGAGCACAAGGATAGGGTCCTGGCCAAGAGGCATTCGCCTCTCGCTGGTAACCTGCAGAAAAAAATCCTTGTTTTACTTAAGACATTAGCTATTTAGGTCATGCGGCATATGAGTGAATTTCTAAATACATCCTGCTGAACATCCTTTTGGAGGGGTTGAAAGGAAGTAGATGTTTAGCAGTTTGCGGCAGAGCTTACATGACGAGCTTCGCTGAAGCATTCTGCGGGCTTGATGTTAACAAGTTAGGAAACACTAATTGGTTTTATCAGTTAATTTTCCAAGCAGCTGTTCCCAGAGTGATGGGGGAAACTCTCAAGACACAGACATTGCTGTAAAGCATGCACCCCCGAAAGGACAAGGCTAACGTCAGAAGCCAGTATGCTAGAGTCACTCAGGCCGAATCCATGTCTACAGAGATCATCGTAGACGATAAATCACTGCTTAGCTGACAACATCACTTGCATCCCCACCAGACGTCATTGTTTGGAAACATGAAACGGCAAGTGCTGCACCACGCCCATCGCCACTCATTAAATAAAAAGGCAGAGCTTCTCTCAGAGGAATGACACTGTGGACATCAGAAGTACATACAGCCCTATCAGCCATGGCCTCACGGTGACAGCAGAGCTAGGAGTCCGAGGGGAGAAATGCACAAAGAGGAAGCACATTCTTTCCACATGGCGTCACATGGTGTCACTGGCCACCCCGGGGCCCCAAACCAATGTTTGTTTAAACCGCCCTCTGCTATTTCAAAAATACACTCTGCAAGAAAGAACCGGAAGCCCATCCCGGAATTCAGCAGCTGCAGCCAATGGCTACGCTGCTGGTCTCTGGGGTCTCCCCAGCCTCGCTGCCCGCTGCCCACCGTCTGCCACACTTAGCTGCGGTTATACATCCCAGCCAATCAGGGAGTTTTGCTCATTTAAATGCAGTTTAAATATGATGGGTCACAGATTTACAGGTTACAGGTCACTGTGCTAAGCACCTTATGCTTATGCTCCGGACAACACAACCACAGGAGAAGCTTCCAGAAGCAGATCATCTTCTGCATCACACTAACCAAGGCAATCTTTAGGCACTGGGCTTAGGATAAGAGTATCGGAGAACTGACCATCATTTCTGAGGCTCAGGGGGCAAAGGTAGGCAGCCACCTAGAGCACGAAACTTGGGGCCACATCAAGACAGCATTTCCAGAAGTTACATTTCCGGCTAAAAAATAATTTGGCAATTTAAACCACAGCAACATGTCTGATATCTGCCCCCCATCCCGGCTGTAATGGAGTGTTCCTACTTTGAGACGTCACACTGGAGTCAAGTGGTAGCGGTTGTTTCATTGCTAAATGAACTGGCACAAAGTAGCATTACATCTCCCTTATGGTTACTATCCCACTAGAGTGGTAGACAAATTCTGAAAAAAATACATTGACAGAACACAGTTAAACTAATATATGCAAAAAATCAAGACTAACCTTTGCCTCAGGGGCAGTATAAGACATAGGCTATCCAAGGCCAGAGCATAGGGCCACATAAAAGAGGGAATGGTGAAACTTCATAAATCTGGCCAATGGATCCACCAATGCAATAGCTCCCCCCCCCCGACAGGCGAATTTTACCGACAACACCCTGATCGGTAAGTTTCACCACTGACATTGATTAGCAGATTGACGTCGCATCAATTTTAATTTCCTCTCATGTCTTTCGGCCCCAAAAAAATAGCTGGAATGGCCCACATTGGGGGCCCCCTACCCATGTCAGCCTGGGGCCCCCAGAGTAGTTAGTTGCCCCTGCTGAGACTCCATGTGTGAATGTTCTTATGGACATTTACCACAGGAGTGAAACATGCTTTGGCTTCTCTCTGATAAGACACACCTTTAAGAACAGGTCTCTGATCTCTGATAAGGCACCCCTTTAAGGACAGGTTTCTGATCTCTAATAAGGTGCCTCTTTAAGGATAGGTCTCCTATCCCTGATAAGGCGCCCCTTTAAGGACAGGTCTCCTATCCCTGATAAGGCGCCCCTTTAAGGACAGGTCTCTGATCTCTTGTAAGACACCCCTTTAAGGACAGGTCTCAGATCTCTAATAAGGCATCCCTTTAAGGACAGGTCTCTGATCTCTGATAAGGTGCCCCTTTAAGGATAGGTCTCTGATCTCTAATAAGGCGCCCCTTTAAGGACAGGTCGCCTATCCCTGATAAGGCGCCCCTTTAAGGACAGGTCTCCTATCCCTGATAAGGCGCCCCTTTAAGGACAGGTCTCCTATCCCTGATAAGGCGCCCNTCCCTGATAAGGCGCCCCTTTAAGGACAGGTCTCCTATCCCTGATAAGGCGCCCCTTTAAGGACAGGTCTCCTATCCCTGATAAGGCGCCCCTTTGAGGACAGGTCAGGACTTTTTTGGTGTAGTAAGATTTCACTGTGCATATGCTGCAGTGAAACTATTTGAATGAGGAAGCTTTGATGTTATCCTGCTGCAAAAGCTTCTATTTCATGTATAAGTTGCTGGACATGTATGAGAGTGAAACATAATGGAGAAAGACAATATGGTAATAATACAATAGACCAGCATGTCTGTCTTTTGCAGATACACGGCCACCTTCACATTAGGGCTTTCCAGGTCCTCGCCTCCCACACACAGACGTCAGACTGCCCCTTTGGCACGTGGCCCGAGGGTCTCACCTGAGCTTGTCAGCGATAAAAATGACCCGACGCTCCAGCAGCAGCGAGGCAAAGACCCCCAGCACCTGTCGCACGCTCAGGCAGCTGAAAAGGATCTCCAGGTCAACATGCTCCAGTCGAGAGTCGAAAGGCCTTCGCAGCTCTATCACCTGCAAGACACCCACAGTGTGATCAGGAACGACGCCCCCCGGCGTCAAAAACAAACAAAGGCGACATTTCCAGAATCTGCTGTGCTACTCACCTCGTTCCCAGATCCAGGCAGGAAGGTCTTCACCTTGATGGTCTTTCCAGGGGCAGGAAAGGGAGACTCCATTAAGCTCCGCATGAAGGGGTACACGAGGGCGGCGGAGATGCCCCTGCGCCTCTCCACCTCGTCCAGAATCTTTGAGGCAGGGGTACAGGAGAAGTAAACCCCCAAAACATCATAGACCAGTGACCTCAAAGTATCAGCAATAACACATAACTAACATGGCAGCTCTTCAATCTACCCCAACAGCATCATTCCCATTTTTTAATTCTGACAAGGGAAAGAACCTCAGTAAAGAACCCTCCCAGCTCCCTAGTATTTTATTATTATTTTATCTATTTATTGTTTGGTGGCACGCTGCGCACACCGAGACCAGAAACACTGTGTTTCGTTCTTATCATGTCAAGTGGCTTGAATGACAATAAAGCTGATTCTGATTCTGATTCCCCACCAGGTCAACTGGGAGGCCTACCGGAAGCTGGGAGGGAGCAAAAACATGGACTGTCTGGCAGGGGGCTGGGAGGGAGCAAAAACATGGACTGTCTGGCAGGGAGCTGGGAAGGACCAAAAAGGTGGACTGTCCATGAATCCCCAAAGACCAGGTTGGGAAACACCAAATTAGAGGAATCAAACAACCAGGAAACAGTGACCAGTCACTGTTTTCAAGAGAGTGCAGTACAGGCAATAATTACAATGGGAAATGAGAAGCAGACTGATAAGATGGTTTACATTAGAAAAGCAGATTCCAAAGCCAATTCTGGTAGAAGTCCTGAAGAAGCACAGCTCGACCCAATGGAGCCTGTTCTGGACATTCAACGGCTGGGTGGAGATGCTCTTCCTTATCGTTACCCACTCCCACAAGGGAGATCCTGCCGGGAACGGGGGGAGGCATGAGCTCACCTTGGAAAACAAGTCGAAACAGCCCAGCCGACTGATGACGCAGTACACTTCAGGTAGGCGAGGCCCCTTCCCACTGGGCTAGAGCAGCGAAAATGAAATTGTGTCAGCATCCAAAAAAACCCCTAGACAGACGGGACGAGGTGTGTGTAGTGGCATACAAGAGAATTTCTTAGCACTTGCTAGCAAACAAAAAGCTAATTCTGCTATAGCCTTCGCCTGAACTTTTCCTAGTCTACGGGCAGGTTTTTCATGGCAACCCACCCTGATCAAGTGTCCTTTTCAACTAAAAGGGTATGATCGTTTACAAGACGCAAGCAAAATTTGCTTTTGAGCCTCAGACATTGCTGTGAAAATCCCACGATTTAGCCTCTGCTTGTGTTTATTGTGTATCTGATGTAGATAAAGGGATCCATGTACTGATCTGGGCCTCAGATTGCCAGAGGAGGAAAGGCTTTCATCATGTGACGAGCTTCCCATCGTAGAGTCAGAAATCCCATTGCCAGACCAGTCACCTTAGTGTAAACTATCAGCACTGTTATCCTAATAAAAAGTCACAGACCGTCCTATTGCTGGAGGCTGTTTGGCTCGCTCATTTTACATCTCTCCACACATACATGGACTTAAAAAAGTCATTCCCAGTTTTCTTGTCCATATTTGGCAATTTTCTAATCTCTTCTTTCCCCCCAAGTGCAACACTGATATGCGGCGGTCAGACAAAGCGTCAGGAGGAACCCATCCATGATCCATGATCCATGATCCATGATAACGCCAGCAAGTAACCAAACAAAATGCAACACTTTTGGTATTTTTGGTTTGTCGATTGCAGTCACAAATTTTTCTAAAATTGAGTTTCCCCTTGTGGGCACCAAAAAGGTCACCCCCCACAACATCAAAATAACAGGTTTTTAAATATATTGTGGGGACATTTGATCCTTAGAATGTAATATATACATAACATGCACACACACACACACAACATGGATAGGGACAGAATCTGAAAAAGGCAACTTTGAAACACAGCAGTAACTTCCACATTTGCATTATCTTTTATCCTACACTGACATTTGTTAGAGATGTAAAAAGCAATTATATCCACAGCAATGATGAAAGATACCAAAACATACACTATAGGGACAAAAGTATTGGGACACATAGCAATTACACCATTTATGACATCCCATTCTAAATCCATAGGCATCAATATAGAGTTGGTCTCCCCTTTGCAGCTATAACAGCTGCCACTCTTCTGGGAAGGCTTTCCACAACATTTTGGAGTTTGTTTTTGGGAATTTTTGCCCATTCATCCAAAAGAGCATTTGTGAGGTCAGGCACTGATGTTGGATGTGAAGTCCTAGCTCACACTATCTCCATTCTAGTTTATCCCAAAGGCGTTGAGATCCAGGCCCTTTCTGGAGCCAGTCAAGTACCACCACACCAAACTCACCCAACCATGTCTTTATGGATCTTGTTTGGTGCACTGGGACACAGTCATGCAGAAACAGAAAAGAGCCTTCCCCAAAGTTTCCACACAGTTGGAAGCAGAGAATTGTTCAAAAATGTCTTAGTATGCTGAATCATTAAACAACCCCATACCATTATCCCTCCTCCATCAAACTTTACAGTTTACAAAATGCAGTCAGGCAGGAAACATTCTCCTGGCACAGCCAAACCCAGACTCATCCATCAGACTGCCAGACAGAGAAGCCTGATTCGTCACGTTTCCACTGCCCCAGAGTCCAATAGTGCCGTGCTTTACACCACACCCTCCGACGCTTGGCACCGTGCCTGGTGATGGGCTTGAAAGCTTTGATGCTGCTGCTCAGCCATAGAAGCCCATTCCATGAAGCTCCAGGAGCTGTGGGGTTAATGCCAGAGGAAGTTTGGAACTCTGCGGTTCCAAACTTCCTCTGGCATTAACTTACTTTACATCGGTCTGCCACATCATGGCTGATTCTCTGTTGTTCCTAAACGCTTCCACTTTGCAATAACCCCACTGACAGATGATTGTTGAATATCTAGCAGGGAAGAAATTTCATGAAATGGAAAAAGTGGCATCCTATGACAGTACCACGCTTGAATTGAGCTCTTCAGAATGACCCATTCTTTCACAAATGTTTGTAAACCTAGGTACTTGATTTTATACGCCTGTGGCAATGGGTCTGAATGAAACACCTGAATTTAATGGCTAAGAGGTGTGTCCCAATAGTTTTGTCCATACAGTGCATGACCTGTAGCTTACCAGTAAGCGTCTGCAGTATCCAAATCTTCTGCTGCCATCTTCTCCAGTCAGCATGAAGGAAAAGGTCTCACTGCATTCACAGACATAGGCATCATCAGTCTACTGCAAAGTCTTTAATTAACACTTGTTAATTAACAAAGCCAGAGGGATCACCAAAAACTCTGTGATGACATAGAAATGGGACAGAGTGACTCAGTGGTGGGTAATCCCCAATGTTTGCTGCTTCAAATCTCTACTTTTATTAGTGTGACTCAAACTATTCTTTAAACAATAAAATATTACACCTGAAATGCCAAGGGGAAAATCATTCTCTGCATAGGGATCAGGCCAGTGGGGGCAGTGGTACCAGCCCTGCAGGGATCAGGCTGGTGGGGGAAGTGGTACTGGCTGTGTGAGTATCAGGCTGATGGAGGCAATGGTACTGGCTGTGTGAGTATCAGGCTGGTGGGGGCAGTGGTACTGACTGTGTGAGTATCAAGCTGACAGGGGCAGTGGTACTGACTGTGTGAGTATCAAGCTGACAGGGGCAGTGGTACTGGCTACAGAGTGTCAAGCTCTACCTGCTGTATTGGGAAACTGGACTCCAGTCCTTGGCATCTGGGAAGCAGAACTGGGGGATGGCCTTGAGTCTCTGCTCTGCCTCTCTTATCTGCTTGCTGGGCCTCTCCAGCTGTCAGCAGAAGGACCTGGGTCAGAGCTCTGGAGCAGCGAGTCTGTCTGCATCACTGCGCACCCAAAGAATACCACTAGAGTAGGAGCAGTTAAAGCTGGAGCATTTCAGAGGCTGCTCACTTCCTTCCTTATCAGCAGCAGTTTTTCATGTTCCATTAGCTTGGGATTACCAGTGATGCTTTTTCATGGGGACTGGGACGATGAATACTTAACAGGCTCCCAGTGGCTGTACTGCATAGGCTTTGGTACCTTGGGGAACTGGTAGGTGACCTCCGGGCAGTAGGAGGTCTTGGTGGGCTTCTTCTTCAGGGACACCACCACAAAGTACTCAAAGAGCTCGCGCTCCTGCCACTCGATGAGTTGCAGCTCCAGGGTGCGGTAGCTGGGAGCCCGGCGCAGCAAGGACTGCAGCTTCTGCAGGCGCTGGGCATGTGCTGCCAGGGAAGGGGGGGGGGGGCAGAGGCCATGCCGCATTAGTGCCATTAAGGCAAAGAAGTAGGCTAATTAACATTAGCCAGACACCATGAGCACGGGGTTAAAACACACCAGCTCCCCAATGCCAGTACAAGAGCATGTTCAAACAAAATGTTTTCGAGGAATTTATAAATAATAATTCAAAGTTAAACAAAATTTGGTAGCTGAAACATCTTTAACTGAATATATTTCATATTACCTGGACACTGGTAGCAAGTAGCATTTAGCCATTTTTAAATGCTTCTTCGTTTAAGCCTGAGTTAGGAGCTACAAGAAAACATTTGCAGCCACACTGGAGATTCCTCTCATTTTAAACTCTCACCTTTGAACCGGTCATCAGAGTCACTCTCACTCTCGCTGTTATCATCTGGAAAAAATTGGACAACTTCCCTTCAGGAAACTTTCCAGAGTTTGAAAATTGGACACAAAACTTGGAATTGAAAATTGTAAATTTAGTGGTATATAAAAGTCTAGCATGCCAGTATTTTTACACTTTTAATTTGCATTATTTAGTTAAAAATGTAAACACAATATCTTTTCACTGTAGCTAAAAAAATGTCATACAAAGTTATATTCTGGGGTGCTGGGAACCAAATGCATCTGTTGTGCCTGCAGAGCATGACAGCTAGATGGGGAGCAGGACAGAAGCCTACCTCTCAAAGACGACATCTCCATGCTGGACAAGGAGATCCGTTTTAACCTCTTCTTCCCTCTTTTACTGCAGTAGATGGAATTTATTCTCTGCACCAGCTGGAAACAAAAATGGGAAAAGCCACTGTCTACCTCCACACTATTGGAATTTGCCTCCATTGCATAAACAATAAACTGTGCCTTTAAAATGATTTTGAACATGTTGCATAGTTTTTCAGCAGCAAGGAGTAAAGGGGGAATTATGGCTTGGCCATGTGTGCTTTAATTGAGGTATTTGCCGGGGCGCAGAGGTGAATATTTATACCTATCGCAGCGAGCCAATCAGCTAGTCCTCAGTGCAGCCCTCGCCTCCAGGTGATTTGTCATTTTAACCTGTGGGCAGTGTTGCTGGACCAATGCCATTTTGACTAGCAGCCTGGCTTATTCTCTGCATTGGGCACCATGAGCGATGCTGCTCCTCACTGAGCTGGCGTGTCAGGGGTGAGCTCACACTCTCAGGGAGTCTGGGAACATGGCCTTGTAGGAGATCCAGTGCTGGCCTGTCCAGGCAATCAGCTTGTTTAGGAAGTCAGTGTTGCAGAGACATTAGGTTAAATAAACTTTCCCCCGCCGGGAAGTGAAGAAAGCTTCACACACCCTCTGTCTGCCCCCCCCCCCCCCCATGTTTCTGTCTAAGCCAAATGCAATTTCTACAGAAATTCATTCCCAAGTCAGCAAGTCTGTCCTGCGATATCCTCAAGCATTCAAGTGGAATGTATGACATGTCTTCTACACAACCGATTGGTGCCTTATTGTGCCTCACTGTGCCTAATCATTTGCATTTGGTAATTAACCTCCTCATCACAGGTTAAAATGCTTGCATACATTCTGCACATAGACACATACACTGGGGTACCCCACACAGCACACAATGCTGTCTTGGGCCAGGCTGATGCCCTGTTAGGTCACATCAGCAATACACACTGTGCTACGTCGTGCCACACCTTGGGTACCCTCCTGGACCGGCGCGATGACAGCGTGTCACTGGTGCCACTCAACCCGTCGTCCAGTAGGACACTGGAGGATGACGACAAGCTGAGCCGAGGAAGGAGCAGCACGTCGTCATGGCTGTGCCGCTTAGACAGGCGAGAGGGACGGTGCAACTTCCTGTCCACAGGACCCGGGAGGTGCAGGGATTGGCTGCTGGGCTTGGAGGGTAGCTGGGGGTGGCACAGCAACTTACACACACGGTCAAGACTGATCTGTACACTATACCACACTACAGTGCACTATGGAGTCAGAGCACGCATAGTGGTAAAATCAACAAAATAGCATTAATCTACTGCTGGTTTATATAATATAACAGTATAAATCTCTTACTGTCTGCCCTTTTCTCATGCCAGCAGGAAGTTCATCAGGGTCAGGTTAAAAACACAAAGTACCTGGTTCAACTCTAAAATCCCAGTCAGACATTTTGGCATGTCCTAACACTACAGTTTACCAAATCAGCGGTGAAAAAAAAATCTCTGTGAACATAGCAGCCCCAGACTCTCAGGTTGCTGGCTGGCCAAGTTCCACTCTCCAGGGAACCATGAGGGATCGTCTTACCAACTCATAATATACGGCTGCTCCATCAACAGTGACCAATTACCTGAGGAGGTGCACAGAATGTGCTGTCCTGTGAGATCCACGTCCCGCTGAGAGGGTCTCGGCACCTCTCCGGCAGCAGCCTTGACTTTCGGCCAGCCGCTCGGCCCTTCAGGTCCACATCCTCGTAGGGGTTTTCTTTGTGAGACTCTGCGGGGAGACAGGGGCATGAGAAGACCTATGACAGACAGGGATCCTCATCTCTGAAGAAGGTGTTCTGAAGTGTTTTGCGTGTGTGAGAGAGTCACATAGAAAAGCCCATCACCAGGCACATGAGAAGCAAGAGAGGAACTGCACTTTTTGCATTAAATAATTATTAGATCTGGGCCTGAGTCTTGCATGCATCATGCTTAGGATGAATCTTTAGAGGAATAAGGCATCCAAGAGTTTCTGGAAAGAGTCCCTTTTGGGCAACGGCCTTGACAAAGACTGTCCAGCCAGGCCACTGGGCCATTGGTGAGTCACTGTGAGAGCATGCAGAGTGTCAGGGCTGGAAATCTATCTGTCCAGCATTCATGTGCAAAACCTAGTCAGGAAGTGGCAACAGTACTCTGTTGTCGCAATATTAGGTGCATGTGTTGAGTAAGAGAACACACTCTTTATATTAACAAACATATCGCCAAGAGACTGTTACTCAGATAGGCAAGTACCTGAAGACAGAAAAAGAAAAAAAATCTCACATAGCTGGCAAACACATTCACTTGGGAAATAAGCTGGACGTGTTGGAATCCCTGTTCCACAAACAACCACTGGTACAATGAACCATATTATGAATGGGTCAAAGGCCTCTGAGAAAGTTACCAAAGTTTAAAATATGAAATACAGAGCTGAGACATTCTGAAAGCAATGCGTGAAACAGCAGTGACCAGAAAATAAGAGAAAAGACTTTTGGTTTGGCTTCAAATTTTGATAAGGGAATGACATAGAACATATAAGCTTTTAAAACAGTAACTTATGGACTCAAAGAGAGGAAATTATGCTGCACTGTGTCACATTAGTTTTTTTGTTTTTTTACAAACACACACACACACACACCCTCTATGAAGTGTCACCTTACAGTGATGGAGGGGTTTGTGTGTCCCAGTGACCCTAGTAGTTATGTTGTTAGGGGCAAATGTCCCTAGTAGAGTCTCCTAAGACAAATAAAGTGGAGATTCAGACTGAATGCGATTCAAATGACCCTTATGAAGAATAAAAACAAGGAACCAGAAGATGCTCGCCAACGAGCTCCTCTACCAGGCCTGGCTCCAAGGCAGGGCCCCGATATCCCTTTTCTGGGTGAGGAGCTTGTTGGTGAGCACCTGATGATCGGATCTTTATCCATGGGGCCCAACCCAGTCATCAGGCTAAAGGAATAGACCTTCTGGGCTAGGTGGAAGGAGAGCTGCTGAATTCCACTGACATACCTTCCTTGGAGGAAGTGGAGTTGGAGGACTAAGAGGAGGACTCGCACATCGTGAGGGTGGAGTTCACTGAGGTAGGCAAAAAACTCTCCAGTGCTATGGTTTGGGAGGTAGAGAAGATTCACCTTATGTTCTTAAAGGTTCACATGGATGACAATGGGCTATCTTCAGTGAAACAACTCTACAACATTCCGTGGAGGTCAGGGACAATGCCAATGGATTGACAGATGGGGGTGGAGGTCCAAATCTTTAATAAAGGGAACTGGAATGTACGTTCCAGCCTCCCTGGAAGCTTGTGCCAGGGTACTGGAGGTCCATCCAAGGGTTGAACCTTGGATCCAGGAGGAACAATGCGGAGCAGCTCTTTACCCCCCCCCCAAAACTACTAGAGGGTTCATGGGAGTTTGCCCAACTAATATAAATGTGTTTTGTGGACTTGGAAAATGTATACAACCGTGTTCCTCGGGGGTCCTGTGGGGGGTGCAAGCCCACGGCTACGCGCCATTAAGTTTCTGTACAACTGGAGTGAGTTCTTGGTTCGCTTTGCCAGTAATAAGTCAGACTTGTTCCTGATGGATGCTGGACTCCATCAGGGCTGCCCTTTTTCACCAATTCTGTGCATAACTTTTATGGACAGAATGTTTAGTTGCAGCCAAGAGGTGGAGGGTGTCCAATTTAGTGACCTCAGAATCACATCCTGGCTTTTAACAGATGATGTGGTCCTGTTGCCTTCATCAAGCTGCAGCCTCCATCATGCACTGGGGCTGTTTGCAGCTGAGTGTGAAGCACCCAGATTGAAGATCAGCACCTCCAAGTCTGAAAGCCAGTTTTGTCAGCCGGGGATCGGACCGCCAGGGCCTCCCTTGGCCCCCACCCGTTCCACAAAGCACCGAACCCCTGACATTCCACTTGCGGGTGGTGGGCCCACCTGGGGACAGTCCCGCGTGCCTCTTTCGGGCTGGGCCCAGCCGGGCCCCACGGCCCAAGGCCCGGCCACCAGGCGCTCGCCAACAGGCCCCTCACCCAGGCCTGGCTCCAGAGTGGGGTACCAGTGACCCTAGTCCGGGTGAGGGAAATGAGAGCTTGATAAAATTCTTTGTCATAAGGGTTTTTTCGGATTTCTCTGTCTGGCCCCTCCCCAGGGACCTTTTTGCCTTGCGTCTTTATCACTACACTTCTCATATCTGTTAGGCCACTATTTCTGCCTACCAGTCTGACAGAAATCTGTTCCATTTAAGAATCTCATCCATTTTATAAGAAACAATGGTTTCACCATAAACATGTTGAGCATACCTAAAACATTTTCCAACATTTTCTTGCATGCATGAAGCAATTCGCATGAATCATCACCCAACTATTTTGATAAACAGGAGTAGCAAAATGGATCTGAGATAGCAGCCTTAACAAACAGAAATTACTTCAACATAAATTTGTGCTGTTCATTGATAAGCTCAACAGAAACATCACATTAACTGTGAAGTTTTGCTGCAATTTTCATGCTTCTTGACACAGAGGACTGAGCAGTCCCAAGAGCAGGAGTAATTTGGTAAGGGGGCAACAGAAATTACTGAGGGGACTGTGGCGAGTGGGTGTGACCAACCATGAAACACTGTGATACTGCTCAGATAGTGTTTGCTCTTTATTTTGCTTTGGTAAAGGCAAACAGCGACAAACACAGGTATATTACAACAAGTGTATTAAATGGAGAGAGAACAGCAAGGTTGACAATTCAGCCGAGGGTAAGTACTTTACTAGGTGCGTAGGCATCGACCGATATTTCTGTTCACTAAAAATCCTCACTCAATGAAAGTTCACTCAATTAATCTAGTTTTCATCATACAAGAAACTACACAGAAAAAAAACATAAAAGTTCACAAATCTGATTTCCCCTCTATTGCTCTGCGGTGCCGGGCAGTGCCCCATGAGGACTCACCATCGTCCAGTCTTGGAAGTAAGCTGGTGTGGAGGACTTTGGTCCCCCAGCTGAGTCTGTGTTCTGATTTGCATACACAACCACCGTTTGCCTTGTCAATAAAGAGCACACCCACCCGCTCCAATATGGACCTGATTCAGAACTAGAGATTTTTTTTTTAAAAGTGTAGCATTGTAATAGATAAACTGGAATGCAAAAATGAGGCGGCACAGTATGACAACTGAGGGGGCAATGCTCTATTGTGCCCCCCCCCCAATAGCACCGGGTCTGGGACTGAGTCTGAATGCTCTAGTGTTGAGTACTGAGTTGGAGTATTCTACTTCATATCATTCACACTGCAAAGGAAACTTAACAAGTCTAAGGTGACCCCTCAGTGTACTACAATAACTTTGCAATGAAACTCTTTAATGACAATCTTCTGGAGAAATTATACATTTCCATGGCTCCTGGGGCAATTGTGGGTACAAATTAAAGGATCTGGTTCCAAAAAGTCAAATAACCCACTTGGGGGCACACCTACCCAGCATGCAGTGCAGCTATGGAACGCTGCTTCACTGCTTTTGTATGCGTCATTCCATAAGATACTTGTGGGCTGACTTATACCACAAATGCCACAAATAGTCTGAAATATCACCGCTAAGTACTGTAAACATAAAACTGCAGCCAAAAACAAGAGTCACATTCAGATCTCATAACGATCTAAATATGTCAGATAATCCAGCACTGAGCCATTCCTGAAGCACAAAAAACATGTTGTTGAATGAGATTATCATTCAGCATTATGCACTAGCCAAGCCATAAAAATGAAGCAGTTACAATTAAGCACTTTGCTCAGGGGTATTGCAGAAACTTTCCTCCGACAGTCCATCACTGCTTCTCAAATTGCATGGCCCAAATTCACATGAGCATTATTTGGTTCAGATGAGCAAAAACAAGGGACAAACTCTCGTGGAGCCATACAGCCATACTTAGAGGAAAATTGCTTCATCTGTTTATCTGTTGGAATAATCTTTGTGGGGAATTCCATCTCTTATTACACTGTGCTGCTTCACTGAAGCAATGAACGCTGTCAGCTAAAGCTGATATCATATGGTTTAACCTGAAGAAGGCTCTCCTTGAGAAAGCCTACAGTCACTAAAGTCACAACGACAGCTGGACCTGATGATGGGTGCGTCAGAAAAGACCACTGCTGTCAGTGCATTTCTGTTGACCTCCTGGACAAACTGTACCACTGACCTATTTTGGCTTTACACTGGCAAACCTCAAATACAGGCAATGTTCACACTGTCTGAAACATTAAGGACAAAGGAATATATCAAGACCATGCTCCAAACAACAATGCTCAGCTGCTTTAATAACAGAAAGTTCCAGCACATGCATCTTGGAAAGCACCAGTGATGATTGACATGCTGATGACTCTCTTGTCTTACATTCACCTTCCACCTGCTTACAGGATCACAGTCCCAGGAAGCCCAGGTCAGCAGGCAGAGGGCACCCTGGACAGGATGCTGCTCCTTTGCTGTCGCATTATTAGACCAAAAAAACAGCTGAGTTCAGTGATGCGTCACTTAATGTATAATGATTACTCATATTGTCACGGCGGGAACAGGGAAGCAGGCGAAGGGAGCCGTGCATACAAATAAATGGGATTTATTACGGGGTAACACACTCCAAAACACAGCAACGTTAATGACCAGACTGGGGAAAACATACCTAATGCAGACTTAAATACATTGGACTAATGACAGCAACAAGAAACAGCTGGTATACACGGGGAATCCACACCGGGTAAATGAGGGGGCGTGGCACACAGAAGCAGCGGACGAGCAGGGCATGACACATATAAGGATATATACGTCTCACAATGTGGACAGCCAAATTTTTCCCCAGTTACCAGTAGATTTATTTTCATTTCAAGCCAAACTTTAATAATCAGAGGGCCACATGCAGTACACAAATGTCTTCGAATTGGTACATTCCACAGCTGAAATCTCCCAGTGACATTCATGTTTACAGTATAGACTTGGAGTTGGCTGGATTAGAAAGCGATTCATTATTAAAGTCCTGGAAGAGAAATATCTTGTTGTGTCCCTAAGCTGCTGTCAGAGGAGGCTTGGCCAAGAAGATAGATAGACGTCACCACCATATTCCAGTGGTGCAAACTCCATCAGCAACAAAACACAAACAGGGGCTACATTTTCAGCAGCATTCATCATTTCCATACCTTATGCCACATGAACCACTCCTGCCCTCCACCTCCACCTTCATCTCCTTCCTACCATCTCCTACTATCCTTTTTGTGATAAACATGTCTACACACAGCTTCTTGCCCACATAACTGATCCATGGTAAGTCTTGAGTTAGCTCTCTACATATGTGGTTCCACGTGAAGGTCCCCTTGGTGACGATAAAGCTCTTCCTAGCTTCATTTTGCTTTTTGGTAGAAAGGAATCCATGCCATAAAAAAGCCAGCCCCGCGGGACCGGCCGGTCCAGAAGACAGCTATGTGAACTACATCCACAGCGAGGGCTTCATGCGTCACTGAAATCAGCTGGATCCACAGGAGCCTAGTGGGTCACATACTTCCTTAAAGCCCTGGCAGAGAGCTTACAGCAAGAATGAAGCCATCATATAGCTGATTTATATGGGAATGCAGTGCAGATATGCGTCCTGTTAGATTCGAGTGAGCTGTCATAACTCTGCTGTTTTGTTTAATCTAATGAGGTTTTATTTCAGAAAGACAGAGTTTTAGACTTACGGGAAGAGCTGTCATGAAACATCTGAGCAAACTACACATAATTAGCCAAACTATCTACACTGTAATGTCATATCTGTAAAAAAATGTTTTATATTTTTGCTTTTCCAAACCTCAAAATTAACTAAACATAAAAAGTGAACTCAATGAAAGCTTGCAAAAACCTCCCTGACAATGGAAGAGCAAACATTAGGCAGCCTGAAAGTTTCATGCTCACATTCTCCGTTGAATTATCTGCTGAATCGCACGGCAAACAGTGTAAAGAAAATGTGTGTGATTTTGATTAGAAGAAAATATGAAATGGTGCAGATGGTTTTAATGTCAGACGTAGTCCGCGATCTGCATGCACTCCACACACAGGAATAGCATGATTTCCTCAACAGCAAAGCTGCATGCCAGGCACTGTCATTCAAGGCATTCCAACATACTTGGCAAGAATCAGGCTACCAAGCTTCCAGGCTGCAGTCAAGTCCCAGGAGTTTGCCAACATTATGTATTTTCACTTATGTGAGAAATGTTGCTGGTATGTTAAATGCTGCAGGGACTGTGAAACCACTCGAGGTGTTTATCATTCCATGTAATGCTTCCCTGGGTATTACTGCAGAAAAGGACTATCCCTGCCTTGTAACAGCAGCATCACCACCTTGGCCACAGACGGCTTACTAACCGACGATGTCCTCGTAGGCGTTCTCCTCAGTGGCGCTCTTGAAGCCGGGTCGGCTGCAGGTGTCCGGGCAGGTGGTGCCGTTCTCCGTGGGTGAGGATGGGTATGAGGACAAGAGGCTGCCTGTGTCCTCTGATTCACACGACTCTCTGAGCCACAACGATGCACGTCCATATCAGCCAAGAGAAAAACAAGCAGAGCAGAGTGACTGCCAAGAAGATGCATAGGGCCTAGAGGTCCCATGGTGCAGAGAGGTCTGGATGATCTCCTTCGTTCATGAAATTCTGCAAGGTGCCCTCTTTCCTGAGACCAACAGCGCAGGTCAAAGCTACTTCAGACTTCTGGAGAAACCTATAATATCTCTTTAGTATTTAAGGCTCTCATCTATAATGCATTATGGTCAGCATAAGAATTAAGAATCTTTGTAATGTACTATGAAGGTATCTATAATGCATTATAGATGAGAGCTTCACTGGAGCTTATGAAGTATTACAATCAATACCATAATGCCAGATGACTGTCAATAGAAGATGCTGTAATACTTTATTAATTCTTATACTGAGCATTGTAATATATTATAGATGCTTTGTAAAGCATTATGAAACTTTCTATAATACATTATAGATGAGAACTTCAAGTAAAGTGTTACTTTAGTTTTTGGTGACATTGAAAAAATTAAGCCAAGAGCAATATAAAAAAAAAAAGTCTGGATATCTCATTATGCAAATATAAAATAATGTTCTAATGTCCTCTTTATTAGAAGCAAATGTCCTCTTTGGTTACACTGAGCAGAACCTTGCACATTTCATTGTCATATGAGTGCATTACAAAAGCATGTCTTACAGCTGAGGGAGCAGGAAGACACATAAATGAGTTCAAAGAGACTCAGGTTCACCGTTGGGACACCATAAGGAATCCAGAACATCTGCTCACTCCAGCAGAAGATGGCACATGTCAAACCACCTAAATGGTGCTAAACAGCTACACTTTCTGACCTACAGCTACAAACCTTTGTTGTTAATTTTTGTATTGAAGCGGAATACTTACAAGAGCCTGTAAACCATTTGGCATTTAAATATTTAGCAATCAAATCCAACACATTTTGACTCTTTGATGTTTTGTAAAAGGATTCCCTATATTTTACAGCTTTGAGTGGGAACCGTTATAACACATAGTATCTAGTGAGAATCATTACTGTACAAGTGCTTAATTTATTTTTAACAAAATGCTTTTAAATCTCAATAATCTCCATTATTTAATAATGTATCCCTTTAGACTGGTCATTAACTTCAAATGACGTTTAGACAGAGACTGACAATTGATGGCTATATGAAGATAAAGCTAAATCAAGACACAAAAGAACACTGCGGTATAACTGTCCTTGAAAAACAAAGCCTGCTCTCACACACGACACCAGCACAGCCAATACCTTACCAGTTACCATCAACCTTGAGATGTGACTGATATGTTTGCAAATCTGAGCACAGTAAATGATCCGTCTATCTGACGAACATGCACAGGCAAAGTAAGTGAGTAACCAGATATACACATTTCCCAGTGTGAGAATTGAGATGGGAATGTTCAAACTGCCAGGAATGAGGCACTATACAAGGAAAGCTGGACAAAGTTACTCAAACATCTCTCATTATCAATTATTAGTTAATAATATCTGGGGGCTGTGTGCTGGGATCTCACCTGCCTTGGGCCCGCCTGTTACGGCTGCCATCTGTGCCTTGTGCCCTGCAGGGTGGCGAGGTGGAGGGAAGAGGGGGTGGGGCCTTAGCACAGCTGCTGGGGGGTAGACCATTGGTTGATAATGTGGTGCTGAGGCTCCGGTTAGCCTCATACTCGAAGGTGCGCTTGGGTTTGGGCACAGGGTTAACCGACATGCCTTCCTGTGTCTTGGCAGAGGGTGTCTCAGTGTTCCCGGTACGGGCCAGGTCAGGGCTGGGTTCCTGCTTGGGCTGCGCCAGCCTGTCAGGTCCAGGCGCGGAGTCTGGCTCTGCTGTCACCGAGCTGACACTAGCCCGTTTGCTGGGGCGTGTGGTTTCCGCGTTCTCGGGCCCGCCTATCGTGAAAGATCGATGCCGCACCCTGTCGGAGGTGTAGCAGCTGCTGGGGTACTGCGGCACGGTCCCTGGGGGGTTCTCCTTCAGTGCCTGCTCGATCTTCTGTATGCGGCTGAGCACGGCCGACGGCTCCCTGCGGCTGGTCAGGGAGCGCAGGAGGATCCCCGAGGCCTCGGGCCTGCCGGACCTCTTCTCAAAGTGGCTGAGGCAGCTCGGTTCCGGAGCAGCGGCCTCATCCTCCTTCGTCTCTGCGTACGAGCACCCGGAGAAGGGAGTGGACATCCTCCGCAGGCTTTTGATGTCAAAAGTCTTATTGCCGCAGGAGGAGGACAGGATGGTTGGGCATGCTTCCCCCACCGCCCCCTGCTCGCCCAGCTGCCGCTTCTCCAGACACAGGCTCATCCTAGGAAGTACCACCGTCTGATGCGCCCATACTGAAGTTTTACTACGAATGGCAGCAGAGTGAAGGCCAGTGATGGAGCGGCCCAGTGACAGGCTGCGCTGGTGGTGGACGGGTGCTGAGGGCAGACCGAGCGACAGGCTGCTGCGGCTCACCGAGCCGCTGCTCAGCTCTGCTCCACCCCGGCTGCCCTCCTGCTTGTTGTCCTTCTGCTCCCGGCCGCCGCCTCCTTCACCCACCGGAGCACAGGCGTCCTTCGCCTTCAGAAGTCGCTCTTGAGTGCTGAGGGTGGAGCTGCCGTGCGGGCAAACGGTCTTGCCGGCCCAGGCACGCAGGCTGGAGGCCCGGCCGTCGGCCGCCTTGGGGGGGCTGCCCGGCGAGCAGCTCTCAGTGCTGTCACTCCGGGGCTGAACCGGCTCCTTCAGTTCAGGGAGGATGGGGGGCGGAGATGCCGACTGACACCTGGGACAAAGCAGGGGGGTGATCAGCAGCAGGATTTCCCAGCTCCAGTCACAGATAAACAGATAAAACGGAATCACATGTCAACGTTTACTGAAAACCCCTATCAGAAACACCACGAAAACAACCCAAGTGTGTAATACAGGTAGATATTCTGCCAAGTAACTGGTCATCAAAGACGCTTAGAGCACATGGAAGAAAACACACCTCTTTTGAAGACTGGGGAGGAGAAAGAAGAGCGCAAGAGCATGAATAAGATGAATTCATTCTCAGATATGACTAAATGTGAAAACACTGACCTCTAATGTAAAAGAATCTGTGGAAAAGTACCTCTGCAATTTAACACTGGCAGAATCTAATTAAACGTCAGAGCCAAAGAAAATATAATTCTTTGGTAAAAATGAATGCTTGGATTTTTCCGTGTAATATAATTATGTGGGTAGAACATATGCAGACCCCACTCATGGAACTACTGAACACAAGAAGAAAAGACCCTCATTTCACCCGATTGAATTAACCCAAGTGGCACTTTTCATGAGAGCTTCTGAGGGCAGTACATGCATCTTAGCAAATTTTAATTTAGTTGAGTAGTTAAAACTATTACCCAGAACAATTGCCAAAATGAATTGCCTTGAGACTTCTGGTCTGGTCACCTCCAGGGACTTAAACAAACAACCTTCAGGAGTTCAAGCCCTTAACCACTACCACTCCTTAGAATAACAACCCAAAACTGCCGGTCAGCCCCACAGTCAGGTTGCCCTTGGCAATGGACCAAAGCATGGACTAAAACTGAATCCTAAGAGAAAGACATAGATATTCTCACCTAGAATGGAATCGCTACCACCTTCCACTCTTTTCCAAGTAACCGCAGAACTGCAAGGCTCCATCTGAATACTAGACTGAAGCACGCAAACTGTTGTGGCAAGAATAGTAAGAGCAAAACTGAAGCTGAGAAGAGTCCAACAAGATTATCCAGAGTGCAGGTTGGGACAAATAACGGCACACCCCCACATCATGTGACTAAGGGCAAAAACTGGAGGGGGCGGGATGGGGGTTGGAAAAAGACCAGCACCTGGATACCTCAAAGCGCCGGCCGGCTGTGTGTGTGAATGTGTGTGTAACCATGCGTGCACCACAGGACGGAATCCGTGTAGAAAGCCCCCCCCCCCCCGCCGCCTCAGGAGAATGGAAGAGCATTCATTCTGAATGCCAGGATTTTAACCCCTCTCTTATGTGCTATACTGTTATTTCAGCTGAAGTCATTACAGGCATTTTACCATATTGTACAGATACTTTCAACAAATTAGACATTTTGCATAACAGTAATAAGACTCTACATTCAAAAGACAAAGTGTTTGTGTCTATTTAGCTAGGATATTGTATTTGAATGCAACAATAATACTTCCTCATGTTAACTAGATGTATTAGTATAATTGTGGTCAGTTGAAAAGAGGATCGTTCAATTTTCCAAACATGATTGCCCAAGGTATATCAAGCAGAACACATTATTTTTACTTAATGCATTAAGTACCAGGCAGACTGACAGTGTATAAATTCAGCTCTTACCATACAATCCCTGAAGAAGCACCTTTGAAGCCTGTATGGTGCTTTATGACCTGGCATCATGAGACCCTGATGTAGCCCTTCCTGTGCCCAAAGAACCACACCCTGTGCTGTGCTGCTAAAATGCCCAAGAACCACACCCTGTGCTGTGCTGCTAAAATGCCCATCTGATCCCCACCACAGCTCAAATAAACCAATAAGCATTTACACCCCTGCAACAAAATATAATGCCCCCCTTATATATAATGTGGTTCGGTTTGATGTCCAAGGCAAGTCAAACAAATTCCCTAGAGGCTTAATAAGCCCTCCCTGTGCCAAAAGTAGACCCCAAAGTAGTCAAGCAAAAGTCAAAAATGTGAAATGAAAAAAAAAATAGGATAAGGAAATATTTTATTTAGCATATTAGAAACAGACCACAATATTCAACAATGGTACTAAAATAATGTGCTTGTATGAACTATTCCAGTGGACCTATTTTTATTTACAACCAGGGCTGTACTATATATCCAGCAGGCCCACATCCCATCCATATGAAGTTGCCCAAATTAAAATTCAATCCACCATAGAATAACAGAGCACTTTTAAAAATACCCCCTGGACAAGCCTTGACTTTAATGGTTCCAACAGCCATAAAACAAATCTGTTAGATTCCTTGCGAGTTCCTACAGCATATGCCAAAAGCAAGCAAGTGCAGGACCCCTCCGAGCTGCTGAGCCAGATTCGAACCCGTGGGCTCCAACAATCCAGGACAGGCCAAAAAAATGAGCCCAGCAGAAACTCCAGCCGCGTAGTGTGAGGTGCCAATCACACAGGGGCCCATTGACACACTGGGGCGCTCTAAAGAGGGAAACTCAGGACAATTCCAAGGGCCCCTGTGTGACAGGGGCCCCAAAAATTTGTAACATAATTGGATTGGTCTGGGTTGAGGGCCCAATATGTTATGCTTTCATGGGGCCCGAAATGTGTAGCAGGCCCCTGCTCAGACATGAAGCTCCAGGCCAGGACCACTTTCCAGAACAGCCCAAAAGGAAAGGTTGCCAACTGTCATGCATTCCGCGTGACACTCACATTTTCAAACTCCCACACAAGAAATCTTACAGCAAATGTATATCATTCCATTATAAACCTAAAATTAGCTACAGCAAAAGCACTGGGGTAGTTTGAAAACCCTACATACTATTTACAATGTAATGAAACTGTTACGTACATGATAATGTGTGTGCAGACTTGTCTCGAATTGAAAATCTCACGCCAGCCAGCCAACCAATGCTGGCAACCCTTAAAAGGCAGGCCCTCTGTGTCACTGAGATCAAACAAGGCACAGGTCACCCTCTTCGCTCTGCGATCCTGCCCCCCTCCCCCACCCCGGCAGGCCCCCGCAGCCTGGCTCTCCAGCTTCCATGTCTTTATTTTCACAGATATGTTTCTGCCATGAATGTTTTTTACATAAAAACCTGCGCTTTGCAGCATGAAATAGGGCTTGTTGAAAACTTTGCTGGGGTTCTGAAAGGGGCTGTTTAGTCATAATACTCTTCAGGAAACCACACTATCATTTTACTCCAAGCAAAATATGTTTTTTTTCTTCTGTTCATAAATCACTGATTCCCTTTTTTCATTTGTCTCAAATTACCTAATTAACAGGAATGTGCAACACATTGTGAACATATTTCTTGTTTTGGATCAGAATTGGTGTGTACTGAAAAGAGTGGTGTAGGACCATGCAATTCAGAGCTATTTGAAATGGCTAAAGAAATAATTAACAGAAGGTTAATTAGGTCCCATCACTGGAAATCCCCTTCACATTATTATACTTTTCATTTAATGTGTTAAGCTTTTTGACAGAAAACCTCTCCTAAATTTTTATTCATTGTTCTAAATTTTTCCATGGCAAATCTATTTAAATCAGGGGTGTCAAACTGCAGTCCCAGAGGGCTGGAGCCCCCCAGGACTGGAGTTTGACACCCCTGATTTAAATATTCAGATACACTAGATACACTTCCCTAAACTAAACAGCCCACATACTACTGATAAAACATCCTTACAAGTCAACAGATAAGAACATGCTTTTTATCATCTTCAGAGAAGCTGCAACAGGAACAGGAAGTGAAGTTGTACTTTTCTGCTGGTACTGTAAACAAATGTAAGTTACTGTAAGTAGGCCTGAGGCACAGAGTTGCCAGTGAAGGAAGTCACAAATGACAAAAAAGTCCCCTTCTGTCCTCATAAAACATACCTGCCTGATACCTGACTTGCAGAGGTTAATGATAATACACTTTATGTGACAAACCTAATAGAATGGGAAAAAAAAGGATTTTGTTGTGTTTTCTTGTCGTCAGGGATTGGTTAGCTAAAAAAGCACAGCAGACAGCACAGCAAGCTGTTTTATGATGAACTTATTTCTATTTTTGTCTCCAGTCAATGTTTACTTGGCTCTCAACCCATCAACAGCGAAGGTCATTAATGCGACCGCATCTAGTTCTTGGTATTTGAGAGCAAGCCATTTAAAGAACCTGAAAGACATCGCTTTCGTTTTCCAGCGCTGGCCCAAGGCGCTCATGGCGCTGGTCGTACGAAGCCCAAAGCAGCAGCGGTACCGACCTGCCCAGGATGTTGCGCGGCACTTTACCCCCTCCATCCTGGGGCGCTGCCTTGGCACTCTTGTTGGCAGTCATTGCTGGTTCTGCCTTGCGACGTCCCACTCACCTGATGGAAAAATGAAAAGGAAAAAGGAAAACTGAAGATGCCTTCATCTAAAAGGTAAACATTGGGACTGTTTACCTGCTTATATTCAGATTTAATACTTACAGCATAAGTGAGCGTGATCCATCCGAGACTCAGACACAGCTCACCACAGCTACTATACTCCCAGTTACCCCAGTATTTTAGGGTTTCACTTACATTTAAAAGTTACAATACTGCTACCAATTCATTTCGTCATCTGCTTATAGAGGAGGTGTCATATCTCCTCATACAGGTGTGCAGTCTCCCATAGAAACCATACCTACAGGAATATGTAAATATAGCAGTAAAGTAAAGGCAGGCCAGTGTATTAGTGGGCTGCACCATATCCTCACGATTCCAGGTGTGACCGTGTGAGTTTCCTTATTGTCTGGATTTGCTCCCTCATCCCATCCAAGGCACCCGGAAAATAAAGTTGTACACTACAAAAATGTAATCACATTATTTTAAAAATTGCACCAGAATTATTCATAAAAACTATAATAATATCATAATATAACAATGACAATTCTACATGGATTCTCTTGTACGACCTTAGTAAAAACTGGACCACAACCAGGGAAGAAGTTGTGCTTAATCCCTATATGATTTGGTGTATAGTATCAGATATCACAGGATGATTTCACTGCATTCCAAACATTGTGAGTAAAAGTTTACAAGAAAAATAACACTGATCTTTTGGTGGATTTAATCCTGAACTGTGACCTGCTCAAATTTTAAAACAAACTAATTTACTTGGTAACTCAACACAACGTCTGGAAACAATATAGACAAAACCGTCCGTTGCTACAATTTACTTATAATGTATGATCTGAGCGTCGCTTTGGACAAAAGTATCTGCTAAATAAAGTTAACGGACTGAACAGTTTCTATAAAGTTAGACTCGGTCGTAATGATGGGAATTTCGGCTGAATTACTATTTGAATTTCGCTATCCATTATTCAAATATTATTCGTTTCAATGCACGTTGTGTTAGTTCCTGTTCACTTGTTCGCCTCAGTCATTTGTTTCACACAAACATCTAATGGTTCCGATTGCACATGCAGGATTCACGAAAAATCATCGAAGGCGAAGTTAGGAATGAATTAAATATTAAGAGAAAGTATAAATACCTCATTTAGCATTCGATTTAAGTTTATTTCTTCCTTCGATTTTATAAATATTCTTGAATATTCGTTATAGGCTGACACCCTAGATGTGATAGTAATATTTTCTAAATGCAAAATTATATCATCTCGTGGCTACCTCATCAATTTTAGAAAAACTGACACTTTGACATGTGGATTTAAAACAAATTTGACAGCAGAGGCCAGAAGTCAGTCCGCAGACAGCCCAGTGTGGCCCATTGCCTCCTCTGTTCGTCTTTCACGTGTGCAGTGACGAGTCAGTGAGCGGGAGCGACACGGAGAGCCTTTCAGAGGGGAATGCCGCTAGCATCCAGCTCCGTTTGAACGGGACGACTAACATAAACAGACAGAGCTGCCTTCAACTCTCACACCACAGTGTACTGTTTCCCGTGGATGCAATGAGAAGCCTCTGAAAACACCTGGCTGTATTTTTATAGCATTCAGAAGAGAGCTTTGTGCTTAAAACTCACAACCCTGAAACGTAATATAATGGTGACACCCCCCTTCTGATACTGACAAACTCACTAATGTGGAAAAAGACATCAATCAAGAACAGCACTGCAGCGAATCCATGCACGCAGCCTTATGGTTTTAAGGTGAACATAGAGTAACTGATATATTCAAGTTTCTCTCTTTCTTTCTCTCACTCGTTCTCTCTCCTTCCTTCCTTTCTCCCTTCCTTACTTCCACCCATTCTCATGACATCATAAATAATTCCCCCTCTTGCTCATGTGTTTCTTTAGTTTCTTTGCTACCATTGAGCCAAAGGGCTCAAAAGTCAGGTCTCAAGGTGTTTGTCAGGCAGAGATTCTTTTGTCATCATTTATTTAATTTTATTTCTCTTTATATTGAAGATCTCTTCTGCTTTGCACGGAGGTCAGCATGAATCCTTAGGGTAACAGTTGGAGGGGGTGGCAGAGCCGAAAGGCTCCTTGTTTACAGGAAGTTGTCTATGGTGGCTGAACAAGTGCTGAGGCTGATCTCTACAGAGACACAGGGAGGGGAAGATGGAAGCCACATTCCATCTGTCAGCAATTTCCTGTTTCGGTGAACCGCTACAACACAGATCTCCAACTTCGTCAAATACCTGCCAGTTTCCTTAGCATCTATATATTTATTTATTTGGCAGCCAATACAAGTAGATTGTGTAACGCAAGTGACAAGTGCTTATGATGAGGACGTCAACAAAAGCAAGTACTGACTGTCCCCCACTTACAATCTATGTGACTTACAACAACTCACACATATGAATGAAGTTTTAAAAAACTAATTAAGTAAATGCACATAAAAATACATTTCAGCCATGCATACGTCAAACAGTGCTACGCTACCAAGGGAACGTTGTACACTGTACAATAGTATGTAACTGTATGGCAACATGACCATCCCAGCCTCACACACATCTCTGAATCTCATTCTCACATCTACAAGTCAATGCAATTTTCCTATTCTGATTAACCCAGGCATAAGTCGGAAACAGTCTGTAGGGCATTGGCCTAAATATTTTTCCCATCTCTCTGGAGTCTCAGCCTGACTACTTAAAGCCAAAGATCAAGCTCCTAATAGCCTCATTGTCATATTAAATAGCTAAACTGCATCCAGTGTTCTGCAAACAAAACAAATGACTAAATTCCATATGATTTGGCACCACTTTTCTGTCTCACACAGATATTTCTCTGCTCATATGTAAATACACTTAAGTAAGTATGCTTTTCAGTCTCATGGGGGATTTATCTCAAGATTTTTAGTAATAATACTTGAATATAGAAATTAACCATCAAGCACCTGCTTTTGCATTAATCAGATCAATCTGAAAGCCAAAATCAAATCTGCAAGCCAAACTGCTAGAATTATGAATTTGAGAATGTATTAGAAATTGAGAGATTACATATATAGATAGAAATCAGCATGGGTGTGAGGCTTGATTCTCACATTCTACTGACTGTCCTTTCATACCTGATGAATTACCACACAAAGGGTAATACAGCTGATTGATGTTATTTTAACAAAAAGTTGAAAGCAGCCTCATAAATCTTTGGAAAGGGGAAAAAAATCTTTCAACACTCAGAGGATTCCAATTACATGTAATGAGCGTAGCACTGAGCGGAATGTGAGCTTAGTTTCGGTTCAGTCTGCCAGCAGTAGCTAGATGACTCAGTACAAAAGCTGAGCAGAGAAACCCCCATGTTCCAGATGGCTCAGTACAGACGCTGAGCAGAGAATTTCCCGTGTTCTAGATGGCTCAGTACAGAAGCTGAGCAGAGAAAACCCCATGTTCTAGATGTCTCAGTACAGAAGCTGAGCCGAGAAACCTCCATGTTCTAGATGGCTCAGTACAGAAGCTGAGCAGAGAAACCCCCATGTTCTATGGTGCTGGGCTGCCTCTTTACTCCAGCTAGGTGCTGAGTTCAGTCCATCAGACAAATGGGAGTATTGACATGGGTTGAAATGAGTCTACCTGGTGCTCTTGCACGATTGACATAGCAGGGACAAGAAATTCTGTAGCTTGATCTTTATAATTACAAAATTAATGCAGCTATTGTAACAGAACAGAACCAAGTCCTATAATAGTGTCCCCCATTTAGAGGAGGTCTTTGCCAAAAGCCTTCAGCAGCTCTGGTTGAGACAGTCAAGCTTAGTGTTGCTCAGATGTACAGCTACAACAGTAAAAACAACTACAGCATTTTGATATTTAAAGTTCTTAATTTTCACAAAAACACTCTTGCCGTTTTGTAAGTACATACAGTGCCTAGTAGGAGTTTGGTATTCCTGTTAATCACACACATAGCAGTGTCAGTTCCCAGACACGAACGGCATTTTCTGACGGCATTAGATACATGAAAGGTCCAGAAGTGTCTCCAAGCAGCGGGGCTGGAAAACTGGCTAAGGCTTAAATTCGGAGAGTTCTGGTGATGTGATTCCGAGGCTTATGAACACTGTCATAAAAGTGCCTTTGCTTCTGTCTCTGGCTGTTTTCCTTTGCATGCATCACATTATATTTCATTACATTTCTTGATCTTACATCACCCAACTTGAGGGTTATATCACATAATAATATCTCGTTTTATGAGAGTGGGAGACAGTGTTTACACTTGGACAGTGATTTCTGTGGCAGCTTGTTCAATTCCTTATTTTAATCATTAATGTTATTGCTGATCTTCTTCATATTCCCTGCAACCCCTCACTGTGTAAAGGGTGGGAAGATCATTGTAATACCGGCCAGCACATGTTCCTATGTAATAAGAGTAAGAATGAAGAGGTCTTTGTCTGTGGTGTCCTTGGGTGACAAGGGCAGTGGTTAAAATGTAGCTTAATTATCAACAGGAGAAAACCTTCAGCGTGAACCTGGGTCTGACATGACCTGGAATGTAAACAGGGATAATGGCACTGAGAACCCCTTCTTTCTGAACTATGATTGACCATCTGAATATTCACCTGGAGCGAATACAGTCTTACATGCACCTCATTTGGAAAATGAATATAATGTGTGCATACAAGACTACATAAAGCGAGCAAATGCTCCAGTAAAAGTAATGTCAATTTATTTAACTCTATAAAATTCTCCAAGGTGGTTACACAAGGTTCCTGTTAACAATAAAATGTTCATAGAGGTTTTGCTGTGCTGTGCGCAAAACTAAAAAAATGTTCCCTGTAACACCATGATGGGCTTCAATCAGCCACGGTTCAATCAGCATCACGGTAAAGTTCTGCCACAGACCCTCCGCTGAAATTCTGCTGTCTGTCCTCCAGACAGACGTCTTAACAGTTGGGTGCTCTGGTTTGCTGCTGAGCGGCAGCCTTTACATTTTAAAAACCAACGTGGTGCTTCCTTGCAGCCAAGAGTCAGGGGAGAGGAGACAGTGTGAAACCCACCAAATCCTCAACACTTTCCAGACCTTATAAATGAGCAGGAGACATGACTAAAAAGACCCGTCTATTCACAAGAGAGCACCAACACATGCACTCTAACAATCTAACATGGTAAAGGCCAGACTGTGAGCCTGGAGCTCAGTTTCAATGTAAATAACATGGTGCAGGGACGGAGAACCTGCCCTACAAGACGAACATCATATGGTTCTCATAAAGGCTTCCTCATGGAGACATGTGTACACAGTCCACAGTACATGTACACGACACATGCCATCATTATCCAAGTATGCTGCGTTTACATTGTGAGAAACAGACTCTCTTGGCACTAATAAAGTTCCTATTTGAATATAACTTCACCATTTTTCATTCATTAGACTATTTCCCAAATGTGCGGTCAAATGCACAAGCAGCAAAGGACTCATCATGTGTTTCCTGTCAACTTCTGCTTCAGCTGCAGCACTGACACGAAAGAGGCCTCAGGGAAGAATGACGGAGCACGAAAACAGGGGGTGAAATGTGTCCCTGAAGGTGTATCCTGCAAGAGCCTATTTTCCCGTGGAAGGGATGAAGTGCCCTGACTGTCACAGCTCAGCACAGCTGCTCACGTATGACCAGGTACCAACAATTTACTGTTAATACTGCACTCGCTTCACTCACTAGATCAAGCCAGTGCTTTTACTCTCCTTCAACTACACAGTTTGAGATTCTCCCCCTGAAGAAATCAATATTCAGCTTCAATATTTTTATGGAAAAGGAACAAAGGAACCGAGGCTGGCAAAGAACCTGTTTTCTAAAGGAACACAGCGGTCTGGGACACAACCGCCATACGTGGCTAAACATTCCAGGCCAGGTAATTGCATCTCACCACTCTGCAAAAAGCTTCCTTACCAGGCACCTGCATTAACTGACTTCTAGTTATAAATTCTCTGGTCAAGATCCACTTTAATGGGGAAATCCAGTATGCGGTGACATGGCAAATTGTGGTTAATAATCAACTAAGGATCAATGTATTTTTTCCACAGCCTCAACATGTTTCAAGACAATACAAGTGTTTTTGACACTTGTCAGAATCACTATCCTTTTTTGAGATAATTAAGTGATTTAATGCTTTTTGGCAGCTCTGCCCATACCAAGGGGTCTGTGTGTGTCTCTGTCCCCTACAATGGACTGACGGCCACGCCAGAGCAGGACAGGTTCCCGGCTCACTGTGACCCTGTAATGGACAGAATTCAGAAAAACATAAAGGACCAAACCAGACCTTCGATTATCTAAAGGTGGGCTTGGAGGACAGTTCCTGTTTGACTCACATCCCTGAGGAGAAGGCGGCCTCAGTGACTCACTGATGGGTGGTGCTGTGATGAACTCTAGATAAGTCCTACAGATCTGTAATTTGCCCAGAGATCAGATGGCGGCTAGGGGCTTCCAGAGCATCTTTAATGGCCTGGTACGACTGTGAAACATCACATCGAAAGAGAAAGGGAACAAAAACAAGCAGGCAACATGGAGGGCTGCGCAGTACAGGCAGGCAACATGAAGGGCTGCAGCTGCGCAGTACAGGCAGGCAACATGGAGGGCTGCAGCTGCGCAGTACAGGCAGGCAACATGGAGGGCTGCAGCTGCGCAGTACAGGCAGGCAACATGGAGGGCTGCAGCTGCGCAGTACAGGCAGGCAACATGGAGGGCTGCAGCTGCGCAGTACAGGCATGTACCAAATGGATCATTTACCCTCAATGGGGGGGATAAAACAGCCTATCCAAGGGCAAATGCCATAAAACCTCTGGAGCACGCAAGTGGCAATGTGCTGCTGTAAATTCCTGTAACCCCCCCCCCCTCAAGGGTCCAATGACACTGGTAAATGAACTGTGAAGAGCAGGCAAATGTGATGTTCATTCAGTGGCGGCAGAGTGATCTCTTCAAACTTGTGCTGCATGAGTACAAGTGAACCTTTTACAGGAAAAAAGTTGTCAAAGCTGTGTCCGCTGAAAAATATCCAGCATAAAACCAATAAACAATAAACTGTTCTGAGAAATATTTACTTCACATTTGCATGGAGGCTGTATTCAATGAGGCTGAGAAATGAATGGTACCACCCCACCCTTACACAATACCTAGGAAAACAACTGCCTTCATTGGTTTGCTCTGTGAACTCAGGCCAGTCAGAAATAGTGTAAAGGACATTGTTCATCAGTACAATAGACAATCATCTCAGAAAATTCAGGAAGGAGAGCTTACATCGGTTGAGCGGTGTAAACAGGAGTTGAAAAAGGTTTCATAAACTATTTCCATACAGTGGCCAACTTTATAACATACACATAAGCACTGATTAAAAATACTAGGTTATATGAAATACACAATTTCAACACTATGTTTCATCGAACTAACAAACTATAGAAAGCCTCGCTCTATAAAGGTTATTGTGACATCACGGAGTCACGGGGCCGGTGGTGGAATGCTAGTTTATTTCTACAATAATCTCTAGACTGAGTGGCATAATTTAAACATCCATAAAAATTACTCACTTGTCACGTCAATTAATTAACAGCAAAATCCACTGTGTGTCTTAAAGTGTTCCGGTAGCCTCTATCCTCATAATAACGTTTAACGTGAAGTTAATTCCAACAATTCACATATAGTTCGTCTAACTAAAACATTTAGTGAAAATATGCTTTTCTTTATCAGTCATCTGTCGTTAGGGTACTAAAAACAACTGTTTCGTGTGGTAATTGTATGAATTATTCCAGTTATTTATGTCACAAACAATAAATAAATGCAAAAATTATAACAGCATTATATGAAGTGGCTACAGTAAAAGTTAATACGGAAAATAAGTAGCCTACATACACCATAAAAATTTCATTTCCAAAAAAAAAACATCGAAAATGATCGTAGCTGCCTGTACAGTGTTTTCGGGATTCCAGCCTGCAACAAATGAATAGCATTTCAAACATTACCTTAAAGCCACATTTCTTTTTCCACACCATTCTTATTTTTGTATTTCCCACAGACAAGAGTAAAGTCTGTAAACTATACTTGGATTAGATTAAAGCAAAACGTGCTCTTCTATCCAGTCGCGTAATGTGACAGCATGAAAAGCAGTACTCCGCATATACTCCGAAAGAGTAAGTAAAGGCTGAAAGATGGAAAGTGTCCAGGGAGCTGCGCTGTCCGACCCCCACCCCCGGTCACCCTTTGCTTTCGCATCGCTGTCACATATAATGCATGAACGCTGTAACCTCAGAAAAAAATAACCTTTATTAGAATTACGAAAAAAACTTAAGTCGACATATATCTTCCATATCACGTAACCAGTACACGCAAATAAATACGTAGGCCTATCTGAATTTAACGTGAAAAATATTGTGACGCTATGGGCTGACCGGGACTAATTATGTAGCTACCAGCATGCTTGGCACCGCACAGCGGTGAAATTTTTTGAAATGTTTAAATTTGAATTTAATTTTAAAATACGATTAATACATTTCCAGTCCCTGGGTCTGAAATTTTAACAAGAGCTCTACGCTGAATTGACACAATGCCTTCAACAACACACAAAGACATCCTGCGCATTATTATTATTATTATTTAACTGGTATTTTATTACATTTTGATTATAAGACCGCTTCAAAAATGTAAATATATATTGTCACGTCCTGCTCTTCACGTCTCCCTGACCCTCCTGTCTCGTCCTTCCCGTGACCCTAATGGGCGGCACCTGATTGTCCCTCGTTAGTCCGTATCATTAACGTCACTCCTCCTGTCAGCCCGGTTCTGCCCCTGTTCAAGCCCTCTCATTTCCTTCGTGATCTTATTTCCAGTCCCTGATTAAGTTTAATAAAACTCGTTCTGTTTTGCTCAAATCCTTCTTTCCTCATAATGGTACATATATTTTAAAAATACAGGTAGGCTACCTGTCAACATACACCCAATGGAGTAACATCCAATTGTATTTATGTCCAAGGTCCATAGTAAATAATATACACTGATAGAGAGATGCCTGAAAGCGGATGTAGTAGGAGGTTAGCAGATTACCACACTGATACTGATAGGCCTACATTAATGACAAATTATCGGTTACAATAGACGGGTGGGTAGACTGGCTGCCTCACACTTGGAGGGGCAGGGAGTCTGAAGCCCACCATCACTCTGTGAGTCCCTCTAAAGATATGCAGTTGGGTGAATTTATTCCTCGAAATTGCTTGCATTGTCTGTTTGCGTGCTCTATGATGACCTGCCTCTCTGGGCCCTATGTTGTCAGGGATAGACTGCAGAGGTAAACATTGATTCATTTTTCAAAATCAATATTTAAGTCAATGTTAATTCAACATTGATGCAAGATCATGTTGGAAAGTAAGATGATGAAACAACATTGCAATATCGATTTTCAAAATCAAAACAAAATTCAGCGATGATTAAACCTTAATCCATGATGTTGATTCACTCGTGAATAAATGTTGAAATGCCAGCTGAGTCTGTTCTTAATAGTAAATTTTGTTAATGTGTAATATCTGCCATGGCATTCGAGTCTTTTCATGAGTATGTAGCTGTGTGAGTATTGAATGTGAGTATTGAATGTGAGTATTGCGTAAACTGTTGGCTTCCATGTCTGTGCTGCTGCTAGTTCAGGCTAAAGAATGATTCCCCTGTTTAAAAGAACTGTCATCTCATTTTATTAAAATGAACCACATACTCTACATTGGTGTCACAAGCAAGATGTCATCAGCAACCTAATTGGCAGCTCCAGACTTCAAAAGAGCACAGGGACATAACAGCAGCAAATCAAGGGCAACTCCGGGAACAAAGCGCTAAAGCACTGTGCCTTCTTGAGATTATCTAACAATATGCTGCATGTATGCCTGGTGGCAGGGAACAATGGCTGGTCCCCCATAGAAAACACGGTGAACTTGGTGGTGCTGCTGCCCTCCAAGCCCTCATCAGCCTTACCCCCAATGAGCAGGGGCTTATGGCGCTTTACTCACAGCGCTGGGGCGGCGGCTCTGCCAACAGCCATCGTAAGAGATCACGAGGGAGAAGCTGGTGAACTGGTGGAGACGAGGAAGTGACACTCTGGGGGCATTCGCCGCAGACGTCTGTGGTTATGCACGGCAGGGTTACCCATGTTTTCCGCTGCCAGCCAGGAAGAGCAGGATCTTCACACCTTGATCAAGGTGCTGAGACCACAATGACTCTGCCAGCGCCTTCAGCTGTGAGCGCCAGCTAACTCGGCTGATAGTTTGGTGTTGGCAGAAATGTCCAAGGTGCCAACGTCATGCCTGCCGCCACAAAGCTGCGCCTACAACACCCTAAGTGCCATGAAAAAGTCTCTGCCCACTAACAAGCCCCCAGCCCCATGCCATGCCCCCATTAAGTGAGCCACCTGAGGACTGCACTCACCTAGGCCACAGGGCCGGGGCTCCCCAATCCAGCAACCCCTTCATTGTTGACATGGACACTAGTAACAAGGGCCTGAGCACAGTATTGTTACAGGCAGGGCCTCAGGGGAGAGGATGGTGGCATATTCAGCCAGACGCCCCGCCACCCCAACAGAAAATATTGCATGAGCTGCCGCAAGCTCCTGGTGGTCATTCAAGCCTGTTGCCATTCCCACCGGTACCTCTGTGGATGGTGCTTCCAGCTTTACAGCAACCGCACATCCCCCCACCTGGTTGCTAAATTTCTACAACCGAGAGGGACAGATAGTGTGCTCCCTGAAGACCCCCCCCCCCGGGGGTCGATATTGAGGCCCAGCACCAGTGGCTGAGAGTGGAGCAGGCAAATGACCCAGTGTTGGCTCAAGTCAAGGGCTGGCTGCAGGTGGAGAGGCGGCCAATGTTGAAGGAAGTCTCCCACATACAAGAACAGCGATAAAAAGTCAAAGGGTAAAGGACAGTAACTTCATTTTTTTAATTTTCCTAAAATTGTTTCAGCATCTCTGTAGTCCAGTATCAACCAAGATCATCTGGCCCCATGTCACTCCCTGGCCCAATCTGATCCCAATCTGAGCTGAGGACAAGTACACGTCAGGAGAGTCATTTATGTCTGAGAAACTGGGTGGTGCAGCACACCAGGCACTGCAACAAAGCCGGCCTCCACTGCACCTGCAGGACTTTTTGGTGGGTCTTGGGGTCTCTGGGGATGGCTGACCCCTTAGGTGAGGGCAATGTCATACCTTGGGATTGATCATGACTAATTATGCGGTTACCAGCATGTATCTGTAAATAGCATAAATTAATATATGTATTTGTGTATTTCTATTATAAATAGAACATGTTGTAACTGCATAGTATTTGCTGAGGAATTTGTGTCAAAGAAAATGTTTAAGGTTATTTATCTGGGTTGTAAATGTATATTTGCTCAGAACAAAAAACACAATTGAGCATTAGAACATATGCAAATTAAGAGTAACACATAAAAAATAAACAAGAATTTCTTCTGTTTTTTACATTGATGGTGTCTTTGCGAGTTTTAGTGATCTACGTTCTAAATTCATTCTCAATTCAGTTGACCTTTTCCGCTATTTTCAGATACGTCATTTTGTTAATGCCCAAAGCTCATCATTTCCAAATATCCCTTCAAAGTCCCCTGCGGACGCTCTGTTTGAAGTACCCTCCCATCTACGTGGTCTTATTTCAAGAATATATACAATTTTAATGTCTTTAAAAAGTGTAAGAACAGACAAGATTAGAAGCAGGTGGGAGAGCGAGCTTAGTATGCGATTTTCAGAGGAATTTTGGAGGAATGCTCTCTACAGGGTGAATGGTAGTACTACTTGTGCCTGGTTGAGTTTAATACAGTTTAAAGTATAGCACCGTATGCACTTAAGCAGAACACGGATTGCCTCCTTTGATCCTACCTTTGAAAAGACCTGTATTAGGTGTCATACAGGTGAAGCAGACCTGACTCACATGTTTTGGGCATGCCCCACACTCACTGCTTACTGGTCAACCATATTTGATACACTTTCCAAAGTGTGTGAAGCACCGTTGAAGCCATGTGCAGAATCCACAATATTCCGGATGATGAATCCAATTTGACTCAAAGACAACTAAATATCATTGCCTTTGCATCCTTACTGGCTTGCAGACAAATTTTATTACACTGGAAATCTACAAATCCACCTAAAGCATCACAATGGCTTCGGGATCTGATGTTATACCTACATCTAGAAAAGATTAAATATTCAATTAGAGGTTCTCACAAATTCTCCTATGTCTGGCAACCCTTATTATTGTATTTCACTGCTATAAAGGTACTTCCTTGACATTGTAACGTTCCTGACTATGGTATCCAGTTTAATTTACCAATTCATGTATTTTTTTTTTTTTTTTTAAACTATTGCATATCCATCTTTGTTGTGTACTAATCAGTTTCATTATTAATATTAGGTAGTATGTTCGGGGTTGGTTGGGGAAGGGTTTAAAATGTAACAATACAGTCTCTGTACAAATAATAGCATCTGTCTTTGGAATAAAAAAAAAAAAGAATTTCTTCTGTTCTCCAAAGTCACCGATATCTTGTTGGATAGCTAGGTAAACTAGCTGTCAGGTTCCCAAACTCTCCTCAGGGGGACCTCAATCATTCCTTGTATTTCATTTGTTAAATTTCACCACCAGCTGAACTGATTAATTAACTTAATAAGTGAATAACTCAATGCAGCATTGAATAGTCAAACATGATGAGATAGTGGTCAAGTCAAAAAGTATATGGGTGCATTGGATGGTTGGTGGAAATACTGGGGTGATTTTAGGAGAGGTTTTGAAATGGTTAAGCTGACACACTTCGACAGACTTAATATCGTAATTTTACACAAAGATGAAGATCATTTAAACATAATTTTCTTTAAAGCCTAAGACTTGCACAGCACTGTACTGTTATGTGTGTGTCTGCAACCTGTGAGAAAAAAAATATAACCAAACATCAATAAAAATCAACACATTAACAGGACAGTTTGTAGATCCTATATCCTTACAGTCCTGCACACGTCCCTGTTCCTTATAGCCCTATAAAATGAATGTTTCCTGCACAGCCCACAAGAATAGGAAACAAGCCATGATTTACTATGTTTTTGACAGTGAATATTTGTAATAGCTGTATTTAGCAAAAGTGCACTGGGGAACAAATTATATCAAAAGACACATGCATAAAAAGCAAGGCGAGTCAGCAGACTGGCAGCAGGCTGGACTTCTGAAAATATGCTTTATTTAGATACGAGTTGTGGCCAGATTGCCCACTCCCTTCAATGAAAAAACAAAACATGTCTACTGCTTAGAAGAAGATGCAAATGCAG